AAAAACAATCTGTTTCTTTGAGACTAGCTGTACATTATTCTAGCGGCAGATTCTGGCTATTAGCACTGTCAAAAAAAAAAAAAAAAATATATATATATATATATATATATATATATATTGTATTAATGTATTTAGGTGGGGTTCACGTGTTTGATATAAGAAAATGGACTGTTATGCAACCGACTCTGAGTATGAGGTCCATGTGATAGCGAGTTTATCGTGCAATACATTCGTCATAAATGCAATAAATGCTGGTTTTTGACTTGAAAATACCTAAAATCTCTTCAATTAGTAATTTCCAAAATAAGCTTCAAAGTAAAGTTTTCAATATTTTTAATTTGAGCCCCTTTAGTTTTCATAAAGGCTCTCTTCTTCCTTAAGTCAAGAACTGAATTGTAAATTTTCTACAAGTACGCTGAACATAGCTGAACCACCGCTTTTCTTTCGACGAACACATTATAATGAGGAGAAAATGGAGGGAAATGAGAAAGTAGAGAAGGGGCAAAAAATGGGTATTAGAGGAAATGACCAATTTACCTCAACTTAAATTATGTGGGAAGTAGGGATGATAATTTAACCCACTCTGACTTGGATTTACCGGTAATCCCCATCCAGTAGCTAATGGGGTGAGTACGGGTTTTAAAATTTTCAAGTGGGTACGGGTTTTCAACATATGCACCCCTCCATTTACATTGTTATTTAAATATATATTTTTTAGAAATATTTTATTAAATAAAGTTATAAATATAAAAAAAAAAAAATATTTAAGTGTTCGGTGTGGGTGGGTACGGGTGGGAAATATCTCTAGCCCGGGTGCGGGTTTTCCACAACCAACCACATGGCTATTCCTAGCGGGGAAGCACATGTTGTGGATTTCGGTCATTTGTGGTCAACAATTGAACAAATTCGACACTAATGCTATAAATAATGAAATTGAGGTATGTCAGTACAATATTTTTTTTTTGAGTAAGAAGAGGGAGCTTTTGAACCCTCGATTATATTAATTTAATTTGCATTTATATTATCACAAATTACAATAAAATTTCAACAATTACACTCCCAAGGATACTTATGCTTTTAATTGGCTCTATTCTAATAACTTTGGGTTTCTTGAACTTGCCCTCCCTAGACGACAATATGGAAATTAAAAGTTGGTCCTCGGATTAAGTTCTTTATCTGGCAACTTTCTCATGATAGTATTCCTACTAAAGACTTTTTATTCAAACGTAAATGTGGGCCGACTAATACTTGCCCCTGTGTAAATTACATCCTGAAACAAGCACCCATTTATTTCGAAATTGTACTGCACTGTATAGCATTCTCAAAAGGATTTCCTTTCCTCATTCCAAATTGGGGGAAAACTTTTGTAGTTTTTTTCACAAGCTCCGTCATGGTCCTTTGTTTCAAGCACAAATTGCTAATGTGTATTGGCTAATTTGGAAAGCTCGTAATAATTTTGTGTTCCAACAAAAAGAAATCCAACTCATACATATTGGACTCTAGCCAGACAGATGATCTCCACGCCATCACACAATATCTCGGTTACTGTCCCAACCCCCCTTTCTTGGAAACCCCCTCCAAGAGATTGGTTTAAACTTAATATTGATGGGGCATCCAAAAATAATCCCGAAACTGCCGGAATCGGGGGCATTATCAGAGATAGTAATGGCATATTTATTAACGCTTTTGCTAAGAATATAGGCATTGTTTCTAATAGTAAAGCTGAATGCTGGGCGCTAGTGGAAGGAATTAACCTCGCCAGAAGGCTGGATATTAAAAAACTCTTGGTCCAAACTGATTCCATGTTTTTAATCTCGACTCTTACCAGAAAGGATCAGCTGCACAGGGATCTCCACTCACTTCTGCAGGAGCTGTGGAGGAGATTGACTGAATTTGACGCTGTCGAAGTGGAGTTTGGGTACAGAGAGACAAATGGTGCAACAAACATTTTGGCGAAACTTGGAACTACTATGAACAACGATACTACGCTTACTTTTGAAATCTGCCACACCTTTTTGAACAACATTTTGTATAATGACTGTAATAGCATGTACCATCGGGCTTGTAAAACTACCCTGTAATGCCCAATCATCCATACATGGCCAATAATAAGCATATTGCATCAATGCATATAGTTATAATTCATTATTCATGATGCATGATCACGACTACTTGCTACACATGTGCCTTAATTGTGTTTTTAATACGTGATTGAATACTTTTCTTAAAATGTGCTTAACGCTGATATATTTGTCTTAATTGCAGTTCTGCATTTTAATTACATTTTAATATGATTAATTACATATGTAATTACTTGAAGTAATTCATATTAGACTAAAACCAAAAGTATGCAAAAGGGTGCAATTTGATTGGTTGGTTGACTAGGTTGCACAAGACCATTCTGCAATTGTTTACACTTGATTGTAATGAGTAAGCATCAGCCCATATCTTATCTCAAGCTAGAAAAACGTGGAGGAACCACAAGGATCCAGCAAATATAAGCCTTCAAATCATCATCCTCCATTTGGCCTTGTTTGGAATGGTAGATAAGTGAAGACTTTGAGTTTTGGTCTTCATTTTCACTTGTCTTCTTCCAAAAACGACCAGACCTATTAACTTAAGCTTCTCTTCTTATTTCTTCACTTCCATATTCACATAAGAGAATATCAAACCCTAAGAACTCATAGAAGTATAGCTAGAACAAGTTCTTCACCTTTTCTAGCTGAAAATCCTATGTTTTGAAGTTTGAATTCATCTCTAATCAAGGCTTCTAGCACACCTTATCTAAGACTGATCCTTTCACTTCATAAACCATATTGATTTTGAGGTAAGTTGAAGCTTTCATTTGCTCATCATAAGAACCTAATTATGTGTGCTTTAATGTGACTTTTGCTACGTGTTCTTCATGATGTTTGAATGATTGATGATTCATAACGATATGAAAGAATATGTTTTCAAAATGGGGGTATGGTACTTGATTGATGGTCGGGTAGGCAAGGGACGCGGGAGGGACCGGCGGACCCAACACATGGTGGCAAATACCTGAGGTCGAAAGACCAGTATGGAAAACCCACAATTCATGAAATAAAATACGGCTAATACCTGAGGTCGAAAGGCCGATATGGAAACCCCGTATTATCTATTGGCCAATTATGATGAACAGGTTCCGAAAACCAAAGCCTATTACTATCAGTCAAGTACCACACTTCAAGGGTACCCGAAAAAGAGAAGGATTTCAAAGAAAAGGATCATGAATGAAGTTATATGTGATATTGTACTTATTGAATGAATAACGTGTTATGTGATATATTGCTATTACATCAGTTTCAACTTGCTGAGCCATTAGCTCATTAGGTTCTTATGATGCAGGTAATGATGTACATGTTTAGAAGTTGACCTAGCCAAGAGCGGCCAGTCAGAGATTTGTTCATATGCCATGCTCCGAGCCATTTTTGTGGCCGAGCAGAAACTCTGATTTCATTTTGTTAGCCGCTCTATTATGGTTTTTGTACAATATAATTTTGTAAACAATGAATATATATATATATATATATATATATATATATATATATATTACAAGTTTGATTTCTTTTCAAAGCATATAACGTATGTTTGTATTAAAACCATAATGTTGAATATATATATATATATATATATATATATATATATATATATATATATATATATATATACGGGTTTTGAGAAAGTACAAAGTTTGATTTCTTTTCAAAGCATATAACGTATGTTTGTATTAAAACCATAATGTTTAAGTATATATATAAAAGGTTAGCATCCCTAACTTAATGGTGGTGATCCGATTGGATTCTGCAGTTAGGTTGCGGGGCGTTACATACCCTCTGTACTAAAACTCTTGTTTTGAAATCTTAATATAATAGTTGTTGGTCCTGTTAAAAAAAAACCATATTATTTATTAAATTAATATTTGGGTATGTGCAATCAATTCTAAGTTTTCAAGGGCTTTCTTTATTTAAATTTTTGTTGGCGTTGTACAAAGATGACATTTCTTGAGGAATTCAGTGCAGGTACACCTTTCAATTAAAATTTGAAATTACACACATGATTATGATAAACCGACGTAATATATTATATGTATGTTAAAAAATGGTAAATTACGTTTTGCACCCCAAAATTAACAGTATTTGGCATTTTACACCCTATCATTTGAATGGCAAAGTCCACCATCACAAAATATATCACATCGCAAAATATACTCTTCCTCAATTTCTTGTGATATTTTAAAACGCAATAATATATCGTGATATTTTATACATTTGAAGAATTTTCATTCTTCTTTATGTTTAGTTTTCTTACTTAATATTTATTTGGGTAAATTACAACCACCCTCAGGTATGGTCAATTACGAAACAACACTCCTTCTGTTTGGGTAA